TCCCTACCGGTGGTGGGGCAATAGATGGACCCCATCCCCCTATCTTGGCCCCGGAGCACCAGGGTAGCCAGTACATAAACCGCAAGGGGTACTTTTCAATGGTGCTGCAAGCACCGGTGGATCACAAGGGACGTTTCACCAACATCAACGTGGGGTGGCCGGGAAGGATTCATGATGCTCGCGTCTTCAGGAACACTACTCTGTTTAAACGGCTGCAGCAAGGGACTTACTTCCCAGACCAGAAAATAACCGTTGGGGATGTTGAAATGCCAATAGTTATTCTTGGGGACCCAGCCTACCCCTTAATGCCATGGCTCATGAAGCCATACACAGGCAGCCTGGACAGGAATCAGGAGTTGTTCAACTACAGGCTGAGCAAGTGCAGAATGGTGGTAGAATGTGCATTTGGCCATTTAAAAGGTTGCTGGCGATGGTTACTGACTCGCTCAGACCTCAGCTAAACCAATATCCCCATTGTTATTTCTGCTTGCTGCGTGCTCCACAATCTCTGTGAAAGTAAGGGGGAGACCTTTATGGCGGGGTGGGAGGCTGAGGCAAATCGCCTGGCTGCTGATTACGCGCAGCCAGACACCAGGGTGATTAGAAGAGCACACCAGGAAGCGCTGCGCATCAGAGAAGCTTTGAAAACCAGTTTCATGACTGGCCAGGCTACAGTGTTAAATTTGTTTGTTTCTCCTTCATAAAAACCCGCTCCCTTTATTGACTCATTCTCTGTAAGGAACCCACCCTCCCCCTTCGATCACAGCCTGCTTTCAAAGGAAATAAAGTCACTATCGTTTAAAAATCATTTATTCTTTATGAATTTTTTTATAAAAAGAGGGAGAGAACCCAGGTGGGGTTTGGGAGGAGGATCGGCGAGAAGGAAAAGGCCAACTAAAAAAGTTTAAAAAATAGACCAGCCTTTGGCTTGGGCTGTCCACTGGGATGGAATCGGAGGGTGTACGGAGCCTCCCCCTCCACGTTCTTACACGTCTGGGTGAGGAGGCTATGGAACATAGGGAGCGGGGA